ACGGAGTCTGGAATTGTGCCCGTTATATGGCAATAGGCTCACCCCCTATTACATGGGACTCATAACATAAATAGTGAAAAATGGGTGTTACATTGTACAGTGGCATAATGTGCACCTCTACCTACCCCTTCGGGGATAAAAGGCGTGATATTATGTATGTTAACTTATTTGAAGACAACTTTAGAAATTTACGTCCAGTTAAATTAACTTAAAATACTTAATTGTAACAAACTTATTTGAATTAAATTGAATGTGAACATCCGCCTAATGGGCAGACGTAATAAGTTCAAGAACATTTAATTGTAGTAATAATACATCTCAATTTCCGACGTCAGATTACACTTAGCAACACTATACTTAGTTACATAGTATCTTTATTTTCCTTATAAGGATAATTTAATTAAGGTCTGTTATCATTGCATATCAATTTATAATTCAATTAATACATTTTATGACGAAATCGATACACGTATTACATCCATATGCATTACGATGACGGTAATATGCTTACTGATTTCAAAGTATGTGTAAAGTATTTTTTCCCAGTTGCATATCACTCTATGCTCTACAATCTACATTATACTGCATTCCTATCGTCCTGTAACTTGCGGTTTTTGATTAAACTTATTCAATTGAGGACCGATTTTTCAATTAGCAGATATATTTTTTTTTTAGATTTTTAGTTTTTTTTAAAAACGTTGCCCCACATTAGGATTTTCTCCTGCTTTTTTTATGACATAAGCCGGTAAACGAGCAAACGGATCATTTGATGGTAAGCAATCGGCGTCTCCATGGACACCTGGAACACCAGAGGCGTTACAAGTGCGTTACCGGCTTCCTGGGGTTTAGGAGCTTGAGGATCGTTGGTATTTAGATCGTTAGTATCGTTTTTTACATAACTTAAATCTTACCTTTTATCCCCTTGGTACAACATAACACCCACTTTTCACTATTTATGTTATGAGTCCCATGTAACAGGGGGTAAGCCTTTTGCTATATACTGGGCACAATTCCAGACTACGTGCTGCTACTGACAATTTAAAACCCCTTGCCTGGCAGTCGCACTTGCGACCACTCGGCCACCGAAGCAGAATTGTCAAAAATGTTAAAATTTATTCGTCCGATATAATTATCTGGCGACCCTAAATGGCATGATCTTGTATTCTGTTAGTATAGATGATATAATGATAAAGGGGACAGTTGCCATGTTGATGGTCGCATGCAGCTGCTGGATACAGGTCGCTTCTAACTAGCTCATCTGAAAATCTATGTTTAGCCGATGACGTATTTTGGCTGATAAGTTGCTGATGGTGCTCCAGCACGGACGGAGATATATTAAAATTCACCAGATTACCTTATTGACCCAGTAAAGAGGTTTCTATTTCGATTACCTACTCTAGCAAAGCATTATTATATAAACATTCTTAGTAGAATTAGAGTTCCATTGGCATACTCATCACCCATTATGTAATAAACCGCGGTTCCACATTTAAAACTTAACCACACAATTGTAATTAAAATAATTGTTTAGTCAGTTCGGTTTGTAATTAAATTACTATGTCATAGAACCTACTAAAATACTCAGTGAGAACCATAACAGGTAATTCGGTAAAAAAATGACTACCGATTTAGATTAAAGAAGAAAATAGTTAGGTTGTCCGACAATGTTTCCCGCATAATGGGTTTATTGAACACAAGTATCATAATTTGCTGCCTCTACCTCGTTGGCCGAGTGGTCGCAAGTGCGACTGCCGGGCAAGGGGTTTTGGGTTCAATTCCCGGGTCGGGCAAAGTAATACTGGGTTTTTAAATACGGACGAAGTCGCGGATTAGCTGTAGTACATAATATGTATATTGAAAGTTAAATTCAAACTCAAATATCTTTATCGCTGAACACAGTAGATTTAGATGCATTGCAAGATGTTAGATGAACGCTCAGTTCACCATGTTCCACCAATCAAGGCATGCAATTATTATTCGTAAATTATAATTAACGAGTTCCAGATTACAGCAATTTTATGGAATTATCAGTTCAGTCAATATTTTACAAGATTTTTCATAATAATTTAAGTTAAAACAAATGTTAAAACACAACAACACACTTAAATAAAAACTTGTATAATGGCAACCTAACTTGAACCAGCTGGAAAATGTTGTATCATTTCTTATTTTACAAGTTTTGTGATTAAACATCAACTATTTTATTACTCCGTTAGACTTGTTTGTTTTATTTATACATTCCTGCATCGATATACCTAGGGATTATGAGCAAATTATTAGGTATCAGAATAGCCTAGCAGGTCTCGAGTCTGAACTGGAAAAGTATAAAAATATGGACAAACATATGTATTTTTGTGCTATAACAAAGCGGCAAGTCTACTTGGAAACGTCTGAAGAGAAAGAACGAACTATTTAAATTTTTCAAACTATCAAATAGCTTTTTTAAAAAAGATATTGCCCTCTATTTTCTCCTGTATCGTGGATGCGTTTACAAACATACAAGTTCACATACACATCATACCCAGACCCGAAATAACTATTTGTAGATCACACAAAGAGTGACTCCGTGCGGATATCTTGGTAATATTTTTAAAAACAATACTCTTACTTTTTAGCAATTCTGTCAAAAATGACTGTGGCGTTAATGGTGATGCGCGTTGATGTCTTTTTATCACAAAGTTTTGATGAATCGAATTAATCGTAATTTAAGATTTTTATGTTCAATTTTAATCATAATTTAGTGCTTATTATTTAAGTATATATATACTTAATAAATAAAGTAAGTATAAGTTAATTGTGCGATGAATACGTTTGCCCTATACTGTATGACAGTTATCTATTAATTCCATAAAAAGTTCGTTCAAAATGGTTTTTTTTTATACTTACACCAATTATAAGATAGGTAAAGGCAAATAGTCCAAAACAAAAATATATGAGAATAGTAAAATGATCGCCTGATGGTAAGCTATCAGCGCCTTATGTCAGCATATCATATCTAATAAGATTGGTATTCTGTAAGTAAAAAAATAGCCTATGTACATATTATTAATACCTCTTTCCTCTACCTAGTGCATACATTATGCAGCAGTCAATATATACGTCGGCCCATTAAATATATAAAAAAATATCCCAAAATTGTTTGATCCAGCATAACTTCTAAACAGCAGCTTGAAGATATTTTTTGTTGTGCCCGTATTGACAAGAAAACATTCATATGAAAAATAAATCAACAATTTTAACAGGAAAATCGAAAAATTGTAGCCCTATAAAGAATGCATGTACATTAAGTATAAAAATATAATTTTTGTCCTATAATGAATACCGAGTATTATCACACTAATATTATAAATGTAAAAGTTTCTTTGTCAGGATGTTTGTCCGTCAATCACGCTGAAATTACTTTACAGGCAGGCTGACTTAGGTGATAGGATACTTTTTATCCCGATTAAATGCTCCCATGGGAGAAAATAGGAATCATATGCGGACGAAGTCGTGAGCAACTGCTAGTAACTAAATAACAGTGTAAAAATATAACTGAAATATATTCCATTGGGATACACAAAGCTGTATCAAGTTTACCTTACTTCAAGTACTATACGTATAAGTCATATAAATATTGTGAACAAAATAAAACGTTGAAATAACGTTCACATTTTATTATCCCATTTGATCCAAATCTAATTACATAAATTGATCCCACAAAAAGGTAGAGAAGAATGGAACCGCTCTATTGTATCCTACATCATTAGATTAAAGGTTTTTCACTGTGAAAAAGGGTCAAAATGTTGAACAAGCCTATAATGCGCATTATAGTGTGTAACAAGCCGACGGGTGAGTCAGCAGTTTGCAGCCAATATCGGGGCCTATTAGACCACAAGCGTGCTCCGTCGCGCCGCGTTACACCGTGAAACAGACCACCAGGAATACCGCTTTTTAACAATTTTCTACCACTTTTTTCTTCTACCGCACACGACGAACATTCACTCCCTGTTTTATATATACTTCCTTCAGTCCCATAAGACTGAACTAAGCTGAAGAGCTGTATATCTTCGACAATAAACAAAGGAAACAACCTTCCGATCATTTTGGTGTCATTTAACAAACCAAATGTTCATAAGTTTTTATGAAAAGTATATAAAATAAAACCAACTCATATAATGTATTCCATTTAATATTCCTACTCAAAAGTTATAACAATTTAAACAATATTTACAGAAATAATTCATCTACACTAATCAATCCACATTGAACAGGAAAAATATTCAGTTCTCATCACTAAATAAATAACAATCTTAATTCTAGGCTATCTATACAGCAATATACAAGTCACTACTAGTAATAAGTAGCTATAATTTATTCTGTTTCCAAACAAACACTGGATCTACATGAAATTATAGGACGACACATAGTTTGCATTGTCTCAACATTTTTAACAACTTCTACCGCAGCGACACACTCATTAGGTAATGTGTTACTGAACTATTATTCACTAATGCTTTAAAGACATTCGCCAAATTTTTTCATCTGCCATAATATAATACTTTTATCAATTACAATAACTAATCAGCAGTGAGGTACTAAACCTTAAAGTGAGATCGATTAAAATTCTATTATGACCCGAGTGACGTGGTTTAATCGTCTGCGGAATGTGTAAACATTAGGCCATTGATCGTTAGCCTCAACGTTATACGATTTAACATAATAAATAGTTACATATATTACTAAATGCGTTGTAAATGATCATGATTATCATTTTAATAGTAAACGCTAAATGAATTAAAAATTGACACTCCAACTTAAAATTAAAATGTACCAATTTTTCTACAATTCAGCGCGCTTGTGTTCATAGTATTTTGAGATAAATTAACATTTTAAAACTACAAAACGATTATTCCAAATAAAAATCTAAATACTTTACAAATAACTAGTTAGAAGTGTACTTACAATCTAACATTGCACGAAATATTGGGGCAGCTGGAATGCGTGCGCACAGGCTGATGTCACGCGACGGGCAGCGGCGGCGGCGGCGTCAGGTAGCAGGGGCGCAGCGCGTGCGCCGCCGCCAGCAGCTCGGCGTGGTAGCGCTGCGCAGCCGCCACATAGGAAGCCTCCAACCGAGGTATGGGCATCAGCACCGGATGAGGAGGCGACGGCGATAGCCGTGGTGAATCTGGCTCTAGCAATGATTTGATTGTGAAGTCTCTTCGTGGTCTTTCACGCGGTAACATTGTGATGGTTGCCGCTTCGGGTAGTTCTGCTGGCTCTGGGCTCAGCTGTGGACCCAGTGGTGGCGTGTATAGACTAGCACTTGGTATTGCTGGTGGAGGAGGCGGTGCACTCGCTTGTCTTGCTAGAAATGCTCTATTGAAACTTGCTAGCGCCGCTAACTCTGCATTCAGATTATCTTTATCTCCTTTGAGCAGCTTGAACCTCTTGCGCCTCCTAAGCAGTGAGCCATTCTCGAACATGTCGAAGGCCTGCGGGTGCAGCGTCCAGTAGGCGCCCTTGCCGGGCCGGTCCGGGCGGCGCGGCACCTTCACGAAGCAGTCGTTGAAGGAGAGGTTGTGCCGCAGCGAGTTCTGCCAGCGCTGCGTGTTGCGCCGGTAGTACGGGAAGCGGTCCGTGATGAACCGGTAGATCTCCGACAGCGGCAGCATGCGCTCCGGGGAGCTCCAGATCGCCATCGCCGTCAGGGAGATGTACGAGTACGGGGGCTTCTGGTCGCCGTACGATTCACGCGAGGGTCGCGGCATTGTCACGGCCCGATAGATCCCAGGAGAACAAGTCAATATCAATAAAGTCAAAAGTAACAACAACACACGGATGTAGGAACACGTCAGTCCGATGCGAGGTGTGGAGAGGAACTGAGTACTGAGGCGCGGCGAGCGCTCGGTCCGGCCCGCCCGCCTGCTGTCGGCCGGATGTAGCGGCTGAGAAACTAGCACGCGATTGGTGCGCACGTCATCCAATGGGGTCCCTCCACTTTCAGGTATGATGTCGGCTTTCGCTCCACTAACAAGGAATTTAAATTGATATTATGTTTATATTGCCTCCAAAATCTTTTGTGATGACACCGCTTTTTATTTAGCATATGTAAATTACGATGATACAGAAAAACAGATTTGAATTATATACAGATTTAATAATAATGAATGAGTGTTATTAAAATCCTTTGCATTATTTTTTATAAGCCAGATTATCTAGATAATATTTAGTAGCATATATAAATGGTTCCGACAGATATTTTACTAACTCTTAGTAATCTTAGATATAAATATTTTGAAACAGGTGTCAACTTATGGTTTAGAATCTGGACGGAAACATTGACCTAGAAATTAGTATTTTAGTGAATCGGTGTGCCAGTTCGTAGCAGTTAACTTTTAGGCTTATCTGCAGCGCTAAATAATTAGGTAAAAGAGCTACGCAGGCTAGTTTATGGTCTGTTCATAAAACCAAACTGCTTAACAGCACTAACAAGCTGAATTTACGATTGTAGTATACCTACACCTAACAACAAATGCTAAAATTTCTCCAAGGCCGTGTAGTTTTTATTACTGCATATTTAACCAGGTCTTTGTTAGTGTTATTGAGCTTATTTTTTGTGAATACTTAATTCAATAGCTCCCTCATAATTCATACAAAGACGCCATGATTATATTTACAATATTTTTAATTTGAGTACTAAAACCTACCTACCCAAACAATATACGTATATAAATGTGGTTAATAATTTCTATCCTGCTAATCAAACACACATGGTTAAACTATAAAGAGCGACCTGTACAAGTTAAAATTAAAACGATTGAATTTATTTTGAAGCTCTGAACAACAATTTCCTTTACCTAAATAAACATATTAATGAAAACAAAATATTGGTCTGTAGTACTCAGAATTACATATACCTTCATACATACACAAATAGAATGAAAAACAAGGAAGAAATGGGGTACCTTCCATTGTGCCTTCCTAACTTCGTGAGAGGCTGACAAGACAATGTACTATTATAACATCCTAATGTAACAATATGTCTTTTTATGGAATAGGAGGTAAACGAGCAGACGTCACCGTCGTCAACCTCATAATAATAGTCAAGTAGCCAATGTTCGATTGAGTTTGTATACAGATCTTCATGTTTTAAATAAATTTTAACTGAGGAATAACTTTGAATATTTGACAATTCTTCCATACTAAAGTGTGGAAGAGCCATGCTTCGGCACGAATGGGCCGGCTCGACCGGAGTGATACCACAGCCTCACTGAAAACCGACGTGAAGCAACGCTTGCATTGTGTTTCGTCGTGTGAGCGAGGTTACCGGAGGCCCAATTACCCTCCCCTTCCCCAATCTCCCTGATCCCTGAATCCCCAACGATCATCAAACTCTTAATCCCCAAAAGGCCGGTAATGCACTTGTAACGCCTCTGGTGTTCCATGTGTCCATGGGCCATGGGCGACGCCGATTGCTTACCATCAGGTGATCCGTCTGCTCGTTTATCGGCTTATGCCATAAAAAAAATACAAAAACTATCAAATATCAATTTTATTTCACAATTAAAAATTAATTGATTATTGAATAATCGACCCTAATCAGTTTTGTAGTTTAGGCACAAACTTACATTCACATTTGTTTTAAATTAGAAAATTAAGAAATATATCTAATTAGATTTATTGGATAATTTATACAATAACAGGACCACAGAATAACATTAACTTCAAATATTGACTTAACCTCGTTAGTTTTAAAGAACAATTTGCCTTTCTCAGGATTACTAAAGTATTACTTATTAGCATAATCAGACTTATAACCGCCATAAAATACTGATTGAATATATAATTAGGCAAATAGATATTCTAATTGATTGCGTGGTCGGTGTTACTAAGAATATTAATATAACAGAAAGTCACTAATCCAACGATTGGACATACTATTGACTTTTAGAAAGCAAAAACGTTAATGGACGCATTGCGCACGAAACAGTTTTTTTTTATTATCTCTTTATTGTTACCGTTTCCTAAATCCGTGAATGGTTGAGAGGTGAACGATCTGCGACAAAAACATGGCGGGTGACATTCGTCTGTAAATAGGTAGATATTTACTATTGCTTCAGCTCAGCATCATGTAAGGTGAATACAACTTGGTAATGAAAATTTCATTCTTTGAATGATTTTTCTTCCTTACAACCAGTCGGTGTGAGAAGAAAATATGTGTTGTGTGTTTCACAAAATAAATCTTAACTAATAATTTATTATCATTACATTTTTCACTTCTAGTTACAAATTATTTAAAACGGTGACGGCAAACTTTATTAAAGTCGAAATTGTTATTTTATTAACATTCTTGGAAAGTGTTTAATACTTAAATAATTCAATAATTATTTCCTCAAAACCCGTTAAGGTAATATTTTATAATTGTTATTAAAGTATCGATACGAATATCTCCGTGGTTTTCCCTCAACACCGAGTGACTGTGACATGACACCCTGACCTGAAAAATAAATCTTGTCACTTAAATCTTAAGAGACGTTTTTGGTTGTTACCGACGTATTATTAGTCGTTTTAATAATGTGTTTACGCGGTCATGCGAGTATCGTAGGTCCGAGGGTCTGGAATGGTGCAAATTCGTCACGGATGCTTATCGAGAAGGCAGTCGATAAAGGCGGCCTGTCGATATTTTATTATTACAGGGGCCCCCATGGTAATCACGAGCCCACGCTCTGTTTTCGATGAGAACTTGAGGGACTCATTAAAACTGTTCTTTGGTTCTTTTACAACACCAACGGTTTCAAAATGTGGGCTCTGTTTTCTTCATTGCTTATTTATTAGAAAAACGTGTCACAGAATTTTTATAAACATGGATAATGCAAAATAAACATACAAATAAAATAAATATTGTAGCAACACCTACTGTAAGATAAGGTACTTCTTAAAACCTTTCTATGCAACTGTACTTACAGAATTACTGATATGTTTCGCGGAATTGGGAAGGATAGGTTACCTATGTTAGGGAAACCTGTAAATTTTTCCTCAAGGATAAATTCGGGTAATTACATATACCAAAGTAATTTTAAATTGTAATAAATTAATATTAATTAACGTAAGTACATTATGTTTTTTTTGTATATAGATACTATAGGTAGAAAGATACCGTAGGTGTGACCTACGACGCAAATGTGAATAATACTGAATTTCTGAATAATGATCGTTTACGGACCGCGGCGCTACACGGCAAATATTTTAGTGGCAGGCGCTAGGCGGCCATCGAGCGCCTCTACAATTAATTCTAAGCAAGTCCGCAGCTACTCAAAAAAGCTCTCAGACTGCTTTCGTCATTACTTGCATATTTTTTGTTCCAAGTAGATCGAAAATTTTTTCGCGCGCCCTCGCGATTTTGCCACAGGGTGATTTATGATAAAAGTTATAAGCGGCATTTTTAATATCAACGAGCCTTTTAAACCTTAGCCCTTTGTAGATGCCGACGGGGAGATAACCTAATTAACAAACGTTATATATCATTGGGCAGCGAGCGCAAATATGAGATTTTATTTATTAACCGGCATCGGAAAAGTGTAATGTATGCGGGGGTTGCGATGCTGGCTCGTATATTCATGGAGGCTTAATTGCTTCTTATCTTATATCTGCACATCGGCGAGATCACAACTTGTATGTATAACCGGCCGGTCCGTCTGTCCGCCTCCAGCCGCGCGGGGCCCGCTCTCCGCCGGATACTCCCCCTGGCAGCGCTCGCGGTCTTATGTCTCACACCTTAAAACTACATAAATCACATGAATAATGTTTCGGATCTAATGTCATTAAATATAAATAAAGTTGATACTGAGTCACGGGTAGCGCGTGCAATAGCAAAAAAGTTATTATCCAATTGAAAGATCTAAAAACATAATCTCAACGTTTACATTTGCATAAAATTGTTGTATTATATTACTTAATATTAATAAACATAAGTATTTAAAATCCTTAATATTCAGTAGATACATAGGTACAAAGAAACAATGAAAAGAGAACATGAAATATGAATCATCTTACGTAACAACTCGAAATACGTAACCTCAACCATACCATTACTCAATGGAACACTCTTCTATTCACCATAAGCACCAACAATCATACACACAAAACTCATTCTTAACACCTTAAAAATTAATGTGAATATTGCTTGTAACAAAACCGAGATATTCACTTTTAACACAAGGTTTATGTCGGCGTTAAAGAGAGTCCGATTATTGTTATTGAATTACACATTTATAAAGAGCTTTTGCCCGTGACTTCATGCACACATTAAAATTTGTCATGTTACCATAGAAATTTCGGGATTTTTTTGTGTTTCAAGAAACTTATTTATACTTACTTATTTCATAATTATCTACGACCGTAAGTTTCAGCTGTTTATTGTTTGTTAGTCACTCAGACACGAGTAATAAAAAGTTTATTTGTAAATATTATGTCGCAGTCGACAAGCTTACGATCCTGGAAACTGATCCTTCAAGGACCGGAACGAAATATTCAGCCGTTCAATCAAACAGCTAATCATTCAGGCCGTAAGTTAAATGGCCAATTAAGCTAATTGACTGTAATACATACTTACATATTTAACAGATATACTTATTTATTCGATTGCGTGCACCGGGACAAAGTATAGAAAGCTACAATTACTCAACTCCATTAATTAATAGTTTATCAAATTAGTAAAATGATTTATTGTATTCTTTATTTCGATTCGATTTTGTTACTACACGTCATA